GGTTTTACAGGTAGCTGTGAGATCCCTCACAAGCATGGGGAATTGGATGTGTCGTGTCCCCCCCCCCGAATTTTTGGTGTCACACCTCAAAAAGCAGTTTGCATTTCACAGGCCCATTGTCTGTCGTGGGCAGAGCCAGGGAGGGCTTCGGCTGGGCTGGCAGGTTTCTTGGGAGAGGAAAACCCAGTGTTAGCTGGGCTGTCTCAACGAGCAAAGTGGGAGCACAGAGCAGTGTGGTCACGGTGCACAGCCAGGCCTTTTGGAGAAGGATGCAAACCATCAGAGTCAAGAAGAGAGGAGCTGGTCTGTGCCGTGGTCCCCAGACACCCTGAGGAAGCTGCCTCACCAGCCCTGGCTATTTCCATCTCTGGAGATACAAGCAGCCATGGGCAGAGGCCTCTGCTGCTTGGTGAACTCTACCTTCCTGCTGGGCTCAGTGCCCGCAGGGGTGATGGCCAGCCCTGGGCCATCTCTCCTGACCCAGACACTACCAGACCCTGCAGCAAGGTGTTACGACCCAGACTGGGAGCTCAGGGAGTTGTAAAGTTTCTGTGATCCCCTCAGGTTAAATTTAGGTGAAACGATACCAAACAACCGCTTAAAATGTTTTACTTGTGATAGAAACAACTTAAACTTGGAAAAGGATAGCAAGCAATGTGGCTGCTTATTGATAAATCTATAAGAAACAAAAAAAAAAAAAAAAAAAAAAAAAAAAGAAAGGAGAGGAAGAGAGAGAGTAAAGGAATCTGGTTCATCACCCACATTCCAGAATTGTCTCAGGTCCAGTTATCTTGGTGGTGGGTGCACCCTCTGCAAAGTTTTCTCTTGACTTTTAAATTCATCTTTATCAGGTGATTTGCATACTAGACCAAGAGAGGCAGGTATTCCACGAACACATTTCCATGAGAGAAAAGGAGAGGTGGAGCACGGGTTCCGTGCATACATTGTGGGGGGACGGGGTGCATCAACACCCTTGTCAATTGAGTCAGTGGACGTACTCATCCCCCAATCCCTTATTTTTTCCCTCAGTTTTTGCTTAGGTCCATCTGGTGCTGGTTACTTACCTCTCTTATTGTTGTGGTTTAGGCCTGATTGGCAGCCAACCACAATGCAGCAGCTCTCTCTCCCTTCCCCCCCGGTAATGAGAAGGGACAGAGAGCCAGGCTTCGGGTTCAAGATAGGACTGGGATGGGGAAAAATCCCCCTTTTATGATCACGAGCAAAAGGCAGACTCGTTAGGGGAAGAAAAAAACCCATACATTTATTACAGACACTAACAACACATAACAGAGTAAGACAGTGAGAAGTATTGCCACATCTTGAGAACACCTTCCCCCCACCCCTCCCTTCTTCCCGGGCTCAGCTCTGCTCCCGTTATTTCTACCTCCTCCCCCAGTGGCGCAGGGGCAGGGAATGGGGGGTGCATTCAGTGTTGCCTCTTCTGCCATGTTCGGTGGGGGAAAGATTCTGGAACTTGTTCCCCCTGCTCCAGTGTGGTCCCCCTCTCACAGGAGACAGTCCTCCACAAACTTTCTCCAACTTGAATTCCTCCCATGGGCCGCAACGTTCCCCACACTGCTCCGTCATGGGTCACTAACTTCCTCCGACTGGAGTCCCTCCCACGGCTGCAGCCCTTCCCGAGCTGCTCCGGCGTGGGACTCCCCCGCATGCTGCGATCCTCCCAGCACTGAATTACAGCAGCAGGGCTACCTTTTCCCATGAGACCCCGGTCTTCTTCAGGCACAGAAGCTTGATTATGCCGAGCAGGAGCAACAGGCCATAAATCAGTGTCTGCTCCACCGTAGATCTTCATGGGTGGCAGGGGGGGGCTGCCCTGCCGTCTCACCACAGGATACAGGGGGGTCTCTGCTCCGGCACACCTCCCCCCTCCTTTCTTCCTCCGTTCCTCCACTGACTTTGGTGTTCACGCAGCTGCAGCAACTCCTCCTCACAAGTCCGACTGCCCATTCACCACGTCCCTTCTTAAATACGTTATCGCAGAGGCGCAGCCGATTGGCTCAATTTCCCAAACAGAAGTGGAGCTGACGTGGAGCTGGCGGAGCTTCGAGAAGCTTCTCACAGGGGGCCGCCCCGATAGCCCCCTCCCCTGCCACCAAAAATCTCCACCACTCACTCAACCCAGGACACTTACTAGTCCTTTAACCCAAACATATTCTTTCACTGAGTCCACTATTCCCTCCTTTGAGGCTTATCTAAGGAGTTTGGCAATACAACTGCAAATGAGAGGAGCCGCGCGTCCTTTGACACACTCTGTGATTCCTTGGGCAGATGGTTTGTACCTTAGACTGATCAAAAAGGCCACAGATTGTCAAATTTTTCTGTGTTGATGACTGTTTGAGGCATACAATTCTTTCAGTTTCTTACACATGGCTGCCTGCAAAACCCTACGTGGGGCTCACCTAGGGTCGAGTGGTGGTGAGAGGCTGCCACTGCTGGAGGAAGAACCATGGACGGCTGCCACGGGGTCTGTGCTGGGCAGACATTTCCCCACCCTGAACAACCACCCTGGTCCACGCAGTGCCTGCACCATGGGGCTGTGGGGCCATGTGGGGCAGCAGGACTTGGCCAGCCCAGCTGAGGAGGTCCTCCCTGCTCTGCCCACTGCCACCCATCGGCACTGCCACAGCCCCTCTGTGCTGGGCGATGAGGTTTCTGTGGGTGCCCTTCTGTGAGCCTGCGTGGGCACCCACAGGGTGTGTCTCTGCTTGGAGCTGGTCGCCTTGGCCTGCCTGCACGGTCCTGGCAAGGCTTGGCCTTGGAGATGGGCTGTGATAGTCCTCAGCCCATGGCATGAGTGCCAGCCTAGGAATGACTCCTGCAGAAGAGCTCACACTGTGCTGGGGGCATGGGTGAGCCCTTCAAGATGTCCTCACACCAGGATTCTTATTGGTACAAAGGGGAACCATGACAGCCTGAAGTGATTTCTGCTGGATGGAAGCTGTGAGGGTTGCACAAGCACTCACAGGTAGAAGGAAAATCTTTTAAAAGGAAAAATTTATTGGGCTCTAATGCCTTCAGTGCAGTGGGGGTGCATACAGGCACAACTCTGATACCCAACTCCACCACCATTATGACCAAAGAAGAAAACAGCTTCATACTGACCCTCAGACCTGATGTGCCATAGCTCCTGCCTAAGTTGATCTCCAAGCCCATACTCAGACAACTTGTGCTAGATCAAGTGCACCAGGCCTTGTCTCCATGAGTTTGGAACATCTCTATTGACCAAGGATCCCACCATCTCCCCTGAGCCCTTGCTCCGCTGTTTGGCTCTGAGGGATTTCTCCAAAAAACCCAACCCTCAAAACCAAACAGCCCACATAGCCTCTCCTAGTACACAATGTGCTCCAGGCCCCAACCATCTTTCCAGCCTCTGCAGGACTGTTCACAGCCTGTCAAGGTCTTTCTTGTGCTGGGGAGACCCACACTGGACACAGCAACCTTACTGGGGCCCATGAATAGAGAAGAAGAGTCAATTCTCTTAAGCTGCTGGCTGTGATTTTGTTAATCCTGCCTGGGATGAGGTTGGCCTGCCTCTTCCCAAGGGCACACTGCTGCTTCCTGTCCCACTTCTGCACCCAGACTCCCAGGTCCTTTTCTGCAGATCTGCTGTCCCCAGCCTGGCCTCTTGTCTGGAGTTGTCCCAGCACAGTGGCAGGATGAACACTGGCATTTGTCTTCAACTTTGTGTGGGTCCCAGGCAGCCCTTTTCACTGAGGGCTGCTGCATCCACCTCTCTCCTCATCCAAAGGGCCCATCATCTCATTGTAAACGGTATTCACGTTGGTCAGGCAGAATTTGCCTTTATTCAGTTTTTACTGGAAGTTCCAAATCCCCTTCTTGTCCTTCAGGTGCTTGGAAATGGCTTCCAGGAGGATTTGCTCCATCACTTTCCCAGGACAGACTGAGGCTGAGCAGCCTGTAGCTCCCTCATCTTCCTTTTTGCTCTTCATGAAGACGGGTGGCATGTTTGCCTTTTCCCAGACATCAGGAACCTCCCTGACTGCCATGGCCTTTCCAGGGTGACAGAAGCAGCCACACACTGACTTTGGCCAGCACCCTCAGCACCCTTGGCTGAAACTCACCCCATAGAGGACCCACAGAATCATGTATGGCCAACCAGCTTGCTGAAAGTCTCTCCACATGTTCTTGGTCACTAGGCCCACTCCCTCACTGAGTTTTGGGCCCGCTTTTCTTTTTTTTTTTTTAGCCTTGCTGTGGCTGCCAACACCGTTACCGAAGCCCCTTTTGCTACCTTCTGCATCCCTTGCCAGTTTGAGCACCAGTTGAGCTCTGCCTTTCCTAGCTCCATCCCTGCATGTACAGACAAGGTCTCTGTGCTCCCCCAGGGCAGCCTGATCCCCTTCATTCCCTCTGTGCAATCTCCACCCCATCCCACAGGCAGGCTGGTGGCAAGAGGGTGGCATCTGGGGACAGCACAGCAGGTGCTGGGAGCAGGGGCACCAACAAGGAAAGGGGGGGTGTGAGCCATGCCCTGGGCTGCACACAGGGGCACAGGGGTGGCTGGTGCCTCGGTGGTTGGCCAGGCTGTATGGGCTTGGGGTGGATGCCAGCTTGAGAGTAGGAGCTCTGGGATTTCCATGGAATTCCAGTGAAAATGTGGCTGCAGCGAAAGCAAGTGGGCAGGCTCAGGCACAGGCAACTGCAGTGGCAAGGCTGCACAAGAAAGTGTGCTGGCCTCCTGCCATGGTTGCTCAACTTCATCCATAAAAAGCCCACATAGTTTTTGCATTTCAACAGGGTTGGCCTTGAAGATGAAACAGTTGTCCAAGGCCCCTTTGTTCTACAGGGCAGTTTCCCAAGAAATCCAGCCCAGGAACTTCCTGAACAAGCCAAAAATTTCTCCCTTGTACTCCAAGGCTCTGATTCTGGGTTTGTCCTGCACACCTCTCTTGGGAGTTTAAACCCCACCATCTCCTGGTCACTGCAGCCATGTGACACCGACCCTCAGTAGGAAAAGCTCACGTGCCCATGGTTACAATTTCCTGGTGCTCTGTCTCAAATATTTGCTCCAGAATGACACGACAGGCCACATCAAGCCTCTCATCTTGCTGCACCCATTCCTGGAGGAACAGAGAAGTGACAGGGTTTGACTGTCCCCTTTTCAGTGCTGAGGCAGGATTTGGGGAAGTGCGGTGCTTCCCCCTGCATCAGCTCCTTCATCTCACTGAGAGGTGGGGCTACAACATCTGCTGGGCAGCCAGCCCAGGTTCTGGATGCCACCAGTCTTCTCTGGGGACATGCTTCTTTTAGCCACCAGCCGTTGCTGGGTCCTGCTCCACCTGCTGCCAACCCAAGGGCAGCTTCATCGCCCTTCTGGCCTTTGGCAACTTCTGCTCCACGTGGCTTCCTGCTCCTCCGGGCAGCTCTTCTTGCCTGGCTGAGAGCCACTCACAGGTGACCAACAGCCTCCAGAACAGTGGCTGTAGGGGAGAGGGAAGGTGGGCACGAAGGGTTGCACTGGCCTTTCGCCACCAGGAATTGTCTCCTTTGTATCAGCCCTTAGGAAGCCCTGCCAAAGCATCTCCCAAATTCAGTGCTGGCAGGAGGATCTCCTATAGACACCTCTGGTCTGAGCCTCCTCCAGACGTCTGCACCCCTGAGCTGGATGCTCTGCCTGGCACGGGAGGATCAGGCCACTCTCCTTGTACCCACACCATCTCCACCTTGGGAAAGAAACACCTCTAAGATTTGAAGACAGGCTTCAGGCCTGCCCATTGCTCCCACCCCCCACTTCTCTGGATATCCAGAACGACCTGAGGGGTGCTTGGGCTACTCTTTAATAGGACTTAACCAGAGTCTTCACATTTGTCTCAGGACAACAAATGGCACCATCCAGACCCCAAACTCACCTGCTGCAGGTCCTGTACTGCACGGTGGTGATTGGTGTCAGGACCAACTGCCACTCCCAGCTGTACTGCTCAGGGCTGTGGTCACACCATCAGATGACATTTGGGGCACCAAAAAGGAATATTGTGGTTTACCCCCAGCTGACAGCTAAGCACCATGCAGCCACTCACTCACTATCCCCACATCTCCCCTGGTGGGATGTGGAGGAGAATCAGAAAAAAAAAAATGAAAACAACAAAAATCCTCATAGTTTGAGATAAGAAGAATTTAATAATTGAAACAAGATGTAGTAATAATAATAATATTAATAATAATAATAGAAATAATTGCAATAATTGTAATGAAAAGGAAGATAACAAAAAGAGAGAGGAAGTAAAACCAAAGAAGAAGACAAGGGGTGCCCAGTGCAATTGCTCTGTACCCACTGATCCATGCCCAGCTGGTCCCCCCAAGCAGTGATCCACATCTCCCGGCCAACCCACTGCCTTCCTCCCTCCTTGTTTATATACAGGGCCTGATGTCCTGTGGTATCAAATAGCACTCTGGCTAGTTCGGGTCAGCTGTCCTGGCCATGCTCCCTCTCAGATTCTTGTGCCCCCCCTCACTGGCAGCATGGGAAACTGAACAATCCTCGACTTAGGATAAGCCCTGCTCAACAACAACTAAAACATCCGTGTGTTCTCAACATTGTTCTCATCCTAAACCCAAAGCACAGCACTGTACCAGCTGCTAGGAAGAAAATTAACTCTGTCCCAGCTGAAATCAGGACTTTGCAGATTGCCTTTCTTGGTAAGCCTGGCTCCTTGCAACCCTTTTTGTCAAATAGGCAAGTTCTTATGGGCCCCACTGCCCTCTGCATCTGACATGCACACCAGCTGGTTGGATCATTTGGCCTCTGTGACCAAAGGCCATGGCTCATGCTCATGATCCAGGCTGTTTGCAAGCAACAAATTCCTTCCTCTTGTTCTTTGCAGTCACATGAACTAGGATCGGAAATGTCAGGCTGTGCTCTGCCTGTTGTGACAAACTGCTCAGCCCTCATCACGATCTGCCTTCAACCAAAAAGACTTTTCAGCGTGCACAACATTCTTGTCAGGGGTGGCTTCTGCATCTGTGCCTCCGCTGCCTGCTGGCAGGAGTTTGCTGCAAGTTTTGGAAAGCAGCAAATGCTGCTTTTTGTCACTCCTATCCCTGAAATTGACCGTTAGTCGTTGCCCAATAAGGTGTGGTACTGACCTTCTGAGGCACATAGATTTAGGTCAACCTCACTGCTCATTGTCTTCCTGTGAAGTTCAGTGTGACTGAGGATGAGCTAGCTCATCGTTACAGTGGTGCTTTCCACCTTCGTCATCACTTCCATTAAATGAGCATTTCTTTTTCTTACCCATACTGCCATACATCCACTCAAGTTATTGTCTTCTCAGAGGAACCATCTGCACACATGCCTTAAATGCTGATGTGCTGGAGCTTCAGTGCACAGGGACCTTGAGATACTTGGGGCTTTGGCCAGCAGGAACCTCAAGTTGTACAAGGAGAAGGGGCAAAGTGGGACTGGACCAGCAGAGGAGTGAGTCTGAGGAGAAGGCCCTGGGCACTGTGAGTGATGCCATATGTGCTGCTGGTAAAGGCTCACCATGAATAGAGCCAGCTCCTGCATACGGAGCTGCATTGTAGCATGACCATCGAGACACGGGGAGTTATCATCCCCCTCGACTCAGCACTGGTGTGGCCACACCTGTAACATTCTCTGGGTCTTCCATTCTGAGGAGCAGGAAGGAATGGGAGAGTGCCCAGAGGATGTCTGCAAAGGTGGGTTTAGGAGGCATGAAGCACATGAAGTGTGTGGAGTAGCTGAGGGACCTGGGCTTCCTTGTCCTGATGGTGTGGAAGGTCGTGCGGGAGTAAAAGAGTAGCTTGAAATTAGGAGTTTTGGGTGTTTTCAGAGATTGTGGAGCTTTTCTTTGTAGTGGGAAACCACCTGAGAAAGGAAAAGCATCACAAAGTGCAGCTTGGGAGGTTGAGACTGGACAGGAGGAGAAAGAAATGTCCCTTGAAGGGTATTGCTGTGGTGCCAGAGGTCAGCCAGAGCCTGGATCAGTGCAATGCTTTGTGTTCCAAGGAACAGGCAGGGAGGAAGGAGAGATCTCAGGAAAGGCAGGGAGATGCCATAGGTTGGGTGTCCACAGCCTGGGGGTCTCTGTCCCCTTGGCTATGGCAGTTGTCTCTGCTACCAAGGCCTGAAAGGAGACATGATAATCGCATGGAACTGGGGCCTCGTGGCTTCCTTGCAGCCCCCCAGGGAGGCTGGGAGCTGTGGTACCACTGTCCTCCACTCAGCATTGCCCACCCCACCCCACAGTGCCCCAGGAAGAGCCCTGAGCCAGTGTGAGGGACGGGATCCCCCTTCTTGGGGCTGACCACTTGGCTATGATAAAATATATCAAGTTTTACTCAGCATCAGCTCCCCTTGCACAGTGCCTTTGCCTACCTGTACTCACAGCCTCCAATTTTCTTCTCTAACTAATCCATGGGGACACCTGGTCTGTAATGGGCCTCAGAGGGGCCAATTAACACTCCAAGACACTTTGGCTTTTGCTTCTGACTGTAACCCCTTCAGAGGTTGGTTCAGCTCCTCTCAGTATCTGAGGTTCAAGCACCAAATACACCCCGGGTCTCATTAAAGTGCAGAAAACCCAAAGGAGCCACATCTCTTCCATCAATTATTTCAGGACTTCCAGGCTTGTACAGCTAATTGGAGAGGCTTCAGGAGTCTACTTAAAGTGGAAGATTTTAATGACAACTTCGTACATATTTTTTTTTTTTTTTCATTTTGAAGGGGTTTTTAATCCTTTTTTAATTTTACAGAAGTGATAGAAGCTTTCTCCAATTCAGAGGGTCTTCTAAGGAGGACAGGAAATGTAGCAACAGCGGTCTCCTCATGGTCCCCCACTGTATGGGCAACTTTCCTCCCCACCTCCCCAGCCCCACCATTTCCCTCAGGGGCTGCCTGGGACTTGCATTCTTCTACATCAGACTTCCTCACTGATGTTCACAGCTGAATGTTACAGCTCCTTTGCACCAATTCCCACCTGATTTACCCTGAGACTTGACTGTAAATAGTCACAGGAATCTTATTAATTTGAAGAAACGGAAGTAAAATATGAACAAATTATTAAAAAAAAAAAACAAACAAACAACATGAAGTCCTCAACTGTATGCCAAGTCCAAGCCTCCACTAAGGTCTACCTTCCTCAAGTGATGACCATAAAAGAAATATGCTAGACAAATAGATAGGAAATTATAAATATACGCACAATTAGCAAGTTGGCTAAAAGAGAGTTTGGCAGTTTAAATCAACTTTTCCACCTTCTTGGCCAAATTTCTAGCCCAGAGCCTTGTTACGACCTCATGCCTCTAGTGATCTCCCTGCCTATCTTCCTGTGCCTCCTTAGCCCATGCCCACCTCTAGCAAATGAATTTGGGGTGTTGTGGGCAACATTTTACAGTCAACTGAAAAATCATTTGTCAATGTTCAAAGCATTTCTGAGGTATAACTGAGAAAGAAATGAACTTGTGTTACATCATGTGGTTGTTAACATCATTATATTTAGCAAAACCCATCCTCGAAACAGCCTGTTCTAAAAGCCCCCCTGCAACTGGACAGAAATTAAGATGCAAGAATAAACTAATTAGAGTTGCTGCACTCTAACAAGCTCCCAGGGGAAAGTTACTGAGTCTGGAGAGCTATGGGAGGAATAAAGAGTCTTTGGGTTTAGTGGGGCATGCTGAGGGGTTTGGGTGAGGAAGCTCCCTCAGGAGATTGACGTGAGCCTCTCTGGGGGCTGATTAGAGCAGAAGAACAGAGGCAAGTGACTTCAGGGTGACAAAGAAAGGAGACAGAGACATCCTGTGTCGTGTACCCCCTTGGATGTGCCCTGCCAAGGGGCTCAGTGCTAATTCCCAGCCCATCTGAATGGTGATGCCTTTGGTCATCAGCAGCTGAGGTTTTCCCCCGGTCACTCTGAGGACAAATACACGCAGAGTGCCACATCCTTGCCCCTCAGGCCTGGCACTTCGCAGCTCCCCCTAAACCTTTGCCTATACCCTAACACCTAACCCTGAAAGGTGAGCTCTCATCCTTAGCCCTGCCCTGATCACTGAAGCTGAAACCCTCACCAGATGCCTGAAATCTAAGCCCTACCTACCTCCCTAATCCTTTCCCTCAACACCCCTCATCTTCAACCAAGTCCTTCCCTGGGCTGGCCTAACCCTGGGCAACAGCCCTGGGTGGGGTGCAGCTCAGCAGAAAATGGCCCTGGGGGTCATGGTGGACAACAAGCTGCACATGAGTCAGCGGTGACGGCTGGCAACCCAGAAGGCCAACAGCATCCTGGCTGTCTGAAGAGGAGCATGGCCAGGAGATGAGGGGGAGGGATTCTCCCCTTCCATTCAGTGCTTGCTAGACCACATGCCCAGTACTGCACTGAGTTTGGGGCCTCCTGCCCCCAGTACAGGAAGGACATTGATCAACTGGAGCAAGATCAGTGAAGAGGCACCAATACAGTCGGGCATGTGTAGACGTGCAGGGGGCTGGAGAGCTTCCCACCTGAGGAAAGGCTGAGGGAACACTGTCCAGTATGGAGACGAGAAGGCTTTGGGAAACCTCGTAGGAGCATTTCAGTACCTGTCAGGCAGCTAAGAAAATAGAGCCAGGCTCTTCATCTGTGGTGGATGGTGGGAAAAGGAGAGGCAAGGGACAAAAGTGGAAAGAACGTTCAGGCAGGAGATGAGGACCATGAGGTCATAACCATGAGGTCACCTACACACTGGAAGAGGTTATCTTGAGAGGCTCTGCAACCCAGACCCTTGGAGGTTTCCAAGCCTCCTTTCCCCCTACATATGGTCTCCCAACATTGAACAAAACGCTCTGGCTCAGGCAAGAATGAAGCAAAAGCCTATGGCACCAACACGAGCTCTTCCTCCCCTGGCCCTTCACTTCTCTGTGAGAGGTGTCTGCCACCAATCCCACACTTCTTTCTTCCTCAGCCTTTGCAGCTGCATGTGCCTGGCCTGCTCACTTGACTTTGCAACCATCACCTTTGTATTTAAGGCCCAACACATATCTTGTCACGCCCACTGTAAGCTGGCACCCACCCCGCAACTGGAGCCCACCTGGCCACAGGGGCAGGGAGAGGCCAGGCCCACTCTGCTTGAACTGGGCACAGCTTTTTCCTGGGAACGTCCCCAAGGAGCTCTCCTCACGTGTGTCAGGCTGTGGCCTGGCACGGGTGGCACAGGGACAAGGGCTGCTGGGTCAGGGCTGAAGTAGCTCAGCTGGGAGAGCGTTAGACTGAAGATCTAAAGGTCCCTGGTTCAACCATGGGTTTCAGCAATGCTTTTCTCCCTTAGGGTCTTGCAGAGCCCGTCTGCCTTTGTCCATCCTGCCCTGGCCCTCCTCGCTCCTTCCCCTCTTGCCAGAGCACTGCCCGTGTGCTGTAGCTGCACATCTACAGGTTAGAAGGAGCCTTCCTCTTGCACCACAAGCCCCCAGCCTTCCGCTGGGCAGGACTCTCCACTCAGTGTGTCTTTGGGGTGTTCTCCAGCTGGGTCTCCTTCCCTGCTCCACAGGGATCGGGATCTCTCCACTCAGGGGTCTCTGCAAAGACTGTCTCTCTCCTCATGGTCATTCTCACTGGTGCACAGACTGCTCCCCTCCTCACACACATCCTTCACCTCAACCTCAGTTCCCAGACCAGGGCACACTGCCCACAGGGAGGCCATCGTCTCCGCAGTCCCAGGGAGAGGCACTCCTTGCAGCTGAGCAGCACAATTGTCCCATGTTTACTACCACGAAGATACCACCCCTGCATGTGGTCAGGCTCTCAGCCTTGGAGTTAACAGCTGCCCGTGCTCAGGCCACCCTGCCACGGAGACCCCAGCCAGTGCTGTCCCAGGGCACTGCTTTGCTGTCAGGACAGGCCTCAGCACTGGAGGAGTGGGGAGGTCCCTGAGCCCAACCCACACCCGCAGCCCCAGGGAGATGGAAGCCTGCTGTCCACCTCACCTCCTGGGATGCTGGTGGGAGGAGTGGTGCAGGGCAAGGCCCAGTGACTAGAGGAGGGGTTATGGGATTTCTGCCCCTGTGTGCCCCCACCACACACCCTGGGATGTCATCAGAGCCTGGGGGCACCTCGCCCTGTTGCACTGCTCCTCCTTGGGAACAGGGAGCCCAAACTCAGAGAAATAAGGCTGCTCTCCCATGGGCTTTCCACATCTGAGCTCTGCCCAGTGTGGGGCAGCGGTGCTGAGGGCTGGGGTCTCACTGCGACCCCCCTCAGGTAGATCATCAGGAGCTGCAGGAGCAGACACAGATCTGGGGCACAGTGGCAATCCTGCTTTGATGCAGAGAAGGGACCCATCTGGGAGGGCCATCCTATTAGGTCCCAAAATGCATGAAACAGGTTCTTTCTGCTCAGGGGTGCTGCCCCCTCAAGCACACCCACGCCTGGGGCTTATTTCCTCAAGGAGAAAGAGGCAAACCTCTACCAGGTGCCAGATTATGGGAAAAATATTACACCTGTGGGAGGGCAGAGCTGGTGGGGCAGTCACACCGGACAGGCACTGGGCTCTTCTCCCCAGTTCCCACTTGGGGCACCTGGAGTGTGCAGATCAGTGTCCATACTGTCCAGAGGCCCCCACCATCCCGTGTTCAGAAGATAACACTCCCCTCTTCTTTACTTCACCTTTATACCTTATTTCTCTGAGATGCAGGGCTGGAGCTTATCCCAGTGGGAGTTGTCCAGGCTGTGTTTGCAATGCCCATGGATGTCACGCATCATTGTGGGGGTCTTGCCCTGGGAACACTGCTCTCCCATGGGGGCTGCCAGCAGGAAGGCTCTCAGGTGTGGGGCAGAGGGATGTGTGAACCTCGGCTCCCCCCAGGTGCCCCCAGGGTCAGCCCAGGGGTGGAGGAGCTCCCAGCAGGGAATGGGGCAACACTGCTATAGCAGAAGATGTTGGCAACGTCTGCCTCCTCTCCACTTCTGCTCCAGGGCCAGATCCTGCTGTTTGCAGCACTATGGAGCTGCAGCTACTCCCCACAGGCAATCCTGCTACAGACACCCAACACACCTTCCAGCCTGCAGCAGAGAAGCCCATTGGTGAAGAGCCGGTGGAGTGCGGAGACCCACCAGCGGGAACAGGGAGGGCAGTTGGGCAGTTTGGGCGCCAGGTCCTGCCCAGGTGCCAAACTCTTCTCCCAGCCTGGCTTCTGCACAAAGTTTCTGTGCCGTGGGTGCTGGGGCAGGTGAAACCCCAGCTGAGGGAGAGGGACCGGGACCCTGGCTCAGCTCCCAGCAGCACCTGTTTTAGTGGAGGGACACAAAATCTCCACTGCCATGGAAATGTGCCCACATGAGCATCCTCCCAGATGGGTCCTTCTACAGGCCAGGGGCTGGAGCACAGCTTTTGGCTGCCGCACGCGTCTTGTGGGGAAGCTTTCTCCAACCCCCTGGCCCTCTAACAGCGCTGAGGGAACGGTGCCCTCATCCTCGGTGCTCCCAGCCCTCACGTACCTGCCCACAAGTACTGCCCCGCACACAACCCAAACTGACATCCCTGGCAAGGCAGCAGGGGGGCAGGGGTGGGAGCTGCAGGGGAGCAGGAGGAGGGTTTCCCAGGGCTGCTCTGGGTCTGCAAGGCAGGAGGAACAACCCATGGAGACTGGGGTCCTGGCAGAGCATGAGGAGAGAGAATCCCAGCCACGTGTTTCCCAGGAGGTGGCTCTGCACCCTGTCCCACGGCAGTGGGGAGCAGAGCTGCCTCCCAAGCATTGTGGGAAGTAATCCGCGGGCCATGATCCCACCTGGGGCTGGCTGGGGTTTTCAGGGACCTGCGGTCACCTTAGGGCTCGCTTCTGTGAGACAAAAGCCCAGGGCTCACCCTGACATGGCAGCTCTGTCGTGGCCTCTGCATGGTGGGATCAGTGTGGCCCAGGCAGGGCCTGGGGGAAAGAGCAGCTGGAACCCTTGGGGGAAGAAATGGGTGCTCCCACTGGGGTGCATCATGGGACCTATCAGAGAGTCACTTTGATTAGAAACTGCCTGTGGGCAGCAGGATGGATGTCTCTCTCACCAAGATTATTCCCCAGGGACCATGGCCTCACGCAGCCCCACAGGCTGACCCTGAGCCTGCTGTCCCTGAGACGTGTCCCTTCCTTGCCATGGTGTCTCTGTTCTCTGCTCCCCCTGACCAGCCTCAGGGAGATGCCCTGACACCTGGTAGGGAAGCATCAGCTCTGGGTCAAAGCCCCCAGAGGCTTTTAATAAGCAAATATAAGAATGCACAGCATAAAAATGGGAATAAAAACGGAGGAAACTCCCAGCAGTTTCTGCTGCCCATGGCTCAAGGGAGACAGTCCCCTGGTGCTCGCGGCTCTCCCAGCTGCACAGACCTCTCCTCCCTCCTGGCTGCACCCAGCTGTGCAGCAGGGATGGGCTCTCCTGGCCTGGGGCTCAGGGACTGCTGTGCACCAAGCTCGGGTGTCACAGCCTTTGCGTCCTCACAGGGAAGTGCCACAGGCACCTCTTCAGCATCATCATAGCCCATGCTCCCCGGGGACAGGGACGAGGTGTCTCCTTCAGCTCCAGGGACGTCGGCACTTCTCCAGGAGCGCAGGCTGCCCCCTGCAAGCAGCAAGGTCGGACGTTTCAGTTCACTCCATGGGGTCTGTACACCACCACCCTCCCTGCTCCTCACCACATTCAGCTCCTTCTCCCACCCCCGGGCCTTTCAAGGAAAACTCCCATGCCAGGTTTCCTCTTCCCTGCAGGTTTGGGTGTCAGTAGGGTAGTGACTTGAGGGGCACCAGGGATGGCACCCTAGGAACAGGCAGCGCTCTCTTTCCCTCTCACCTCCAGGTGCAGCCCTGGGCCCTGCTCCCTCCTCTGGCATCCTGGGCATTTCCCACTCTCCCTGCCCAGGCACATCATCCTCCCCCGCATCAGGAACCTCCCTGGCATCATCGTAGCCATCTGCTGGGTCACCTCCGGGCAGGACAAGGACGTCTGAAAGGAGAGGGGAGTTGGTGACAGTGAGAAGATCTGTCCTGCAGAGCAGAGGATGGGAGGATGTGCAGGGACACAGAGCGCAGACACTGGGCTTGGCAGAACCACAAGTGATGCCCATATCCTCCCCTTCTCCGATGGTGACACTCAGGGACACATGTGTCCACCCCATGTCTGCAGGGAGATCAACCCCTTCCTGCCTCCGTTACCTGGTGCTGATCCCAGACCTTTCTCCTCCTCACTGACCCTAGGGTGGGGCTGCAGCTGGGTCAGGGACTCCTCTGAATAGGAGCCTGGAGAGATGCACAGCGGGTGTTATGGAGCAAGCCCCACTGACGTGGTTCACGGTCAGCGCTGCTGGGGAAGGGGGACCCACAGAGCTGGGGCTGTGTGGGGAGGAGGGCTGGGAATTCACCCTGATCCCCCGGGACAAACCCTGTCTCAAAGGAGCTTCCAGAGCTGGCCCAGGACAGCCCCTTCCCTCGCTCCTCGGGTGTCTCATGGGGTGCAGGGGCAGGAAGAGAAGGGCTGTCCAGCTGGAACAGTCAAAGCTGACTGGGAGAAAGCTTCTCTCCTGGGATCAGGACCTGGATGCTCTCCCCACAGCTCCCACAGCCCCAGCACTACAGGCACCACAGGCTGGGGGGCTTAAGAGGGTCAGCTCTGGGTTGGGGCCAGAGGAATGGGTCCTGCAGATGTGCCTCCAGGGAAGACCCACACCCACCTGAGCGATCAAACCTGGCCCGTTTCTCCCACGCTGGGCTGTACCCGATCTCCTCGTACACAGCCTCGGGGAAGGGCTCCTGGGCTCTGCTGGAGCCTGGGGACAGAGGCAGGGCTGGCACAGGGACAGGCAGAGGGGAAAAGGGACCTCACTGTGCTCCCCCAAAACGGTTCCTTGGGCCACCTCAGGACAGGTCCAACAGCACAGCCCCACTGTGCTGTCCAGGCACATCTATCACATCCCCAGTGAGGGCAACATCGATGTGAAGATCATCTGGGGCAGCGTCACCCTCACATCATCCCTTTGGAGACAGCGCTCATGCCCCTCTGGCCTGTGTGCCATGTCCCCCTTGTCTCACCCTGGATCTGTTCCCACCTTTCCTCTCCACCTGGAGCTTGCTCCTACCTGCCCCACGGGTCTATAGTAGGGCCCCTGTCCTGCCAGGGTGTGGGCAGGGCTGGGCAGAGGGACAGCCTGAAGGCCTGACACCACGGTGATGGACCCTGCTTCCCCACACTCCTCCTAGCATCTCTCTTTCCCCAGAGCCCCCTCCAGCACTACCGAGAGCACTGCCAGCCTTGGCCATCCCCACTCTGCCATTTCTCTCCTCGCCCCATGGCTAGCTCACCCCACCTCAGGGCTCTCTCCACCCCTTGCTGCTGGTGCCCCACAACCAGTCACTCAATGGGGCAGCACATGTGACAGGTAGCAGCACACAGTCTCACCCTCCCGCTCTGCCTGTGCCCCTTGCTGACACCCCCCGCAGCACCCCACAGCCCTGCCAGGAGGTATCTCCCCCCGGCACCTCTGGGCAAGGACCCACCTCTGCGCCCAGCCCTGGCGCTCAGCACTTGCCCAGCCAGGAGGGCCAGGAGCAGGCAGACAAGGGTCCCCAGGATGATGCACATGATGACGGGCACTGAGACTCTCCCGCTGCTGCTCTGATGGCCTCGGGTGGGATCTGCATGGGAGAGAACTTGGAAGGGGCAGCACCAGTGCTAGCCGCATCATGCAAAGCAGAAGCAGGTGGAGGCCCCAGGGGTGAGTGACAGGGAAGCTTCCACACTCTTGGGTAAATTACAGCTCTCCCCAAACCCCTGCCACCACTCCAGTATCTCCTCCAGGCAGTTTCACACCCCAGCTAGGAGCCCCTTCCATCCAGCTGTGGGTCACAGCCTGGCCCCGGGGGTACCCAGCCTGGGGGGAGGACAAGTTACCTGCTCGGGGTGGGGGTGTTGCCATCCTGGGTGTAGCTGCAGAGGAGGAAAAGGAGAGCTGGGCTGAGAGAGTGGGTGTGTGGGTATCAGGAAACCTCCTCCCCAACACACCGTGTGTGTGTGTGTGTGTGTGTGTGTGTGTGTGTGTGTCTCGATATCCCTGACACATCCCACCCAAATTGCCCCTCCTGTAGTGCCAGAAAGGGAGGCCAGGGCAGAGCCCAGCACCTCTGCTCTGGGAGGCAGGCAGGATGGCAGAGGCAGCCCAGGGGATAGCCCTGGGGCTGCAGGGCCCCACGGGCAGTGGCCAGAGCACGGCCAGTTACACCGAGGCTGCTCCCTGCCTGGCACCAGTCTCCTGCACTCCAGAGGAACGTTCTTTCTCTCGGGAGGTCAGGGGACATGCCCGGACCACGTGGACAGAAGGCCTTCCCTAGCTCCCTGCTAATACCCGAGCAAGGGCTCCCAGCCCTGCCACTCACCTGAGCAGCGCACGGCAGCATCTTCCTTGTGCCGGCAAGCCCCGCTGTCCCCGGGCCTGGGCCCAGCAGTCCTGCAGGGACGGCTCCGTCCCCCGGCACTCCACCTGCTCCAGCCAGATGGGGCCCGTCCCCATCCCAAACGCAGCCTCATGCAGGGCAGACACCACAGGGCCACAGCCCAGCTGCCTGCACGCCACCTCGGCATCCTGCATGTCCCACGAGTCGTCGCACACCGTCCCCCAGGAGCCACGGTGCCAGACCTCCACTCTGCCCGAGCACTCGTCCTCGCCTCCCACGGCACGAATCTTCTCCCTGGCTGGAGAAAGGAAAGACCTCCCATGGCACCGGGAGAGCAGGAAGAGCCCTTCCAGACACAGAGGGGACCTCCCTACCTGTGCAGCTCGTGGAGTTGGGGCACGGCACCAGCGGAGTCGGGTGCATTTCTGGCTGTCCCCCTGAAGAAGGAAACACTGTGGTGACGGGGCTGGTTTGGGGGATCATGTAGAAGAGAGCAGGGCTAAGCTCTGCTCAGGCCTCCCTGCACCATCTGGGGCACGGCAGCAACTGAAACCCCATCATCCATGGGACACGTGCAGGACTGTGGGGGGACCCTGATTGCTCAGCCCCAGAAGGTCCCTGGTTCACAGAGCAGCAGTAGCTTGTCTATGGAGGGGAGGCTCTTCTGAAGCCTGTCGGGTCTCTTCTGAGACCTCACCTGGAGATGCCTCTGCTTCCTGCAGGCACTGCTGGCAACCCCCAGTTGCAGGCAACTGCTGCTGGACATGTGTGGCCGCGGTCATGTTTCTGCCACTGGGTCTGGCATGGAAAGTAAAAGCCTCTCCAAGCTCTTTCTCTGTGTTTGGCCATGCCCCGTGGGGAGCAGGAGCTGGGGTGACACTGGTGCCTGGTTGCCTCAGAGTTACCATTGCAGGTGATGCGGATCTCCTCTTCCAGGTATTCACATGACTGTGGGTTCCAGGGTGTGGAGGGACACTGCCAGAAAGAGCTGTTTGTCTCCCCACACTGCACGCGATCCAGCCAGGCAGGGCCAGACACCCTGCCAGAGGGCAGGTGTGTTTCCAGGGATCCTCCGTCCCCGCAGCCCAGCTCCTTGCACGCCAGTGTCACCGTGTTGTCAGTGATGGAGTTAGAGCAAATGCTCCCCCATGTCCCGTTGTAGAAAACCTGCAGGCGCCCGGAGCAGCCGTCGCTGTTCTCCAGCCTCAGGGCCACGAACTCTGGGAAGAAAAGGCCCCAAAGCGGGAACAGGCTGATCTGGGGCTGTGGGAGCCAGGACACCTCCACATCCCTCCAGGACCTCAGCCAGGCAGGGGCAAGGCTACCACATCCCCCTTGCACCCAGGGGCAGAGAGAAGTCCCGGATTTACAGCCAGCCCTGCCCTTCCCGCGAACCCTTGGGGACGGCTGAGCTCCCCAGGGACCCACCGTGGGACTGAGGGTGTCCGTGCACGGGTGGGCCTCGGGCAGGAGCTCAGAGGCAGCCAGGGGCAGCCTTGGCCATGGCCGGCTCTCCCCGCGTCCTGCCCTCCCCGGGACCAGGCTCCCACCACAGCTCCTGAGGTGGCACAGACCTGAGCAGACGACTCCCGCATCCTCTTTGTGCCCGCAGTCGTGCTGCCCCCAGGGCCCAGCTGGGCAGTCCCAGAGAGCAGCTTCGGCCCCGGAGCAGTTCACACCATCCAGCCAGATCTGCCCGGAGCCTTCCCCGAAGCGAGCGGAGCCGGCTGCCTCCACTGCCTCTCCGCAGCCCAGCTGGTGGCAAATGACGGCGGCATCAGACAGGTCCCAGCCGTCGTCGCAGACAGTCCCCCAGATGCCCTGGGAGTAGATCTCCACTCTCCCTGCACAGCGCCCGGCCCCGTTCACCAGCCGGACCCGCCGGCTCCCTGCAGCGGGTGGAAACCCCAGTCGCTGTCAGGGCCTGCCTGCCTGCGCACACCGTCACCTGGGCGCCTGGGCAGTGCCACTCACCCCAGCAAATGACTCCCACGTCCTCCGCAAGCCCTGCTGCCAGCGCACGTGCCGGGCAGGGAGGTGTTGCAGAGGGTCAGCTTGGCCTCGTGCCCTGCACACCGGACCCCTCGCAGCCCCACGGAGCCCGTCCCTCGCTCAGGCTTTGGGGGGTTGTAGGCTGTCCCTGCCTCTCCGCACCTGCAGCTGCCGGCACACCACGCTGGCCTCCTGCACGTCCCACTGCTCATCCAGGACTCTGCCCCACGCCCCATCCTGGAAGATCTCCACTCGTCCGTCGCACCGGCTCCCTCCGCCCACCAGCCGCAGGGATCCAAAGCCGGCTGGGCCTGGGGAGAGCAGAAATGCCACAGCCATCAGCGGCACCGGGAGCATGGCACCCTGCAGGGAGCAGGGCGAGGGGGGATTTTCATCCAAATGGGACAAGGTGGAGCCTTGTGCTGACGAGAAACAAGGGCAAAGCCTGGGCCCTCTCTGCAGCTCACAGCCAGGTCAGCTGCTGCTGGGGGCACCAGCTCCTGCCTGGGTGGGGGGATGAGGCTCTGCAGGGCTCTCTGTGGGGACGGGATGCGGTCGGCTGCAGCCAGAGGGATGGAGCAGAGCCCTGCAGCCCTGTCCTGGGCTCGCTGCACAGTACGAGGACAGAGGAGCCTGGGCCTGGCGGTGGTGCTGGGGCCTAAGCCACTGTACTGGGGGCAGATGCCTGCCTCCGTTCAGTCCTCAGCTCTCCCAAAGTCGAGCGGTCAGTCTGAGCAGGGAAAGCCCTCCAGATGGCTCCTGGGGAAGCCAGGGTTTCCCCAAGGAGAAATTCAGCCTGATACGGCCATGGAACCCCTACTTTTAGTGGCTATGTTGCACACAATTGACAAATGGCGTTCATGTAGCATTTTTCCAGCACTAACCTGAGCAAAGGACAGCAGCAGCGTTCCCTTGGGAGCACGGTGAGGCCCCCAGGGTGGTCACTGGGCACTGTTGCAGGAGGGCTTCAGTCCCGTCACAGTGGAATGAGTCTCTCCAGACAGGGCCAGTTTCTCTCCCAAAATATTCTCCTCCAGGAATGGACTCAGCAAACCCGCAGTTGAGTTGACGACAGAGAACGTGGGCATCCGAGAGGTCCCAGCGGGAGGCACAGAGGGTCCCCCAGGTTCCCATCACCTGGACCTCAACCCTCCCCGCACACACTGTGCTGCCGTTCACCAGTCTGATCCCTGTGTACTCTGGGGACAGATGTGGAGAAAAGAGAGTGGATTAGTGCTCCTGTACCCTCAGTAGCTGGTGGAGGGGCCAGAGGGACCACATGCCTTTGTTCTCCTTCTGCAGTATTGTCATGCTGCAAACAAACCCATCAACCCCTCCTGTCCTCACACCCGGCCCAGCACGGTCCCTGCTCTGTTCCCCAACCCCTACCACAGCCCCGGTGTTCAACAGCCCACCCTGAGTCCTTACCTGTGCAGTTCACAACAGCGCTGTTTGCATGGGTGCAGGGCTGGTCCCGAGGGGACCCCCTGGGGCAGGAGGCGAGGAGGGATTCATTCCCCACACACCGCAGCTCTCCATCCCACATGGGACCCACCCCTTCTCCAACGTGACTTCCTCCAGTGACAGGCAGGGCTGCGCCGCACTGCAACTCCCTGCAGAGCACGTCAGCAGCCTTGGGACCAAAGTGGGAATCACAGACACTTTTCCACAGGTCCCCGTCACGGATCTCCACGCGTCCTGAGCAGTGGTTCTTCCCTTCCACCAGACGGAAAAATCCTGGAAATAAATCAACTGGGAGTTCCCAGAGCCTTGTGGCATTCCCATGCCCACATCCCAGACCATCTCCACGCAAACTGTGACCAAAATCGCTCACTGCACATCTCAGAAGAAGCTATTTAAGGAGTGATGGTGTCACAAAGGCATCCATGTCAAGTTACACACATTCTCTCCACCATCACAGCACTCAGGGGTGTGTGTCTATTGCAGACCCACAGCAGACTCTGCAAACCACGTTGGCACCGTTGGGACCAAAGTGTGAGTCACACACCGCTGTCCAAAGGTCCTCACCATGGATCACTATACATCCTCAGGAGGACCTGTGCCCTTAGAGCAGCCGGACAGATTCTGGACCAACCAATGACCCCTGAGTGTTCCCACAGCCCTCTGGCAATACCCTGACTACATGCCAGCTGATCTCCAAGGTGGCCACAGGCAAAAAAACTCTACGACGTCCCCAGCTGCTCTCAGGGGGTGCTGGTGGCACAAACACATCAGCCAAGGGACCTGTGTCTGCTGAGGGGGGACAATCTAAAAGTAGATCCCCATCTCACGCCCTTCCACAGGACGGTGGGTGGCCACAGGAGTCACTTCTGGTGCCTCTGGCATGGGGGCAGCTGCCCCTGAGCACTGCCAGACAGCTCCTGGGTGAACAGGAGGAGAAAGATGGCAATCAACAGATCATGCAGGGCAGGGATAGAGGGTTCATCTGTGCCAGCTCAGGGACCAGGCACGGTAAGGCACCCTTGGGCAGGTTCCCACTGGCTTTCCCCAGGGACTGGGGACACCAGTAATGACAGTTCCAGCTCAGAAGTTTGACTAGTCACACTGGGCAATACTCTGGTGTCTGATTTTTGCTCCCTGAGAGCACAGCCAGGTTCCTTCCACAATCTGAGCCCCAGAAGTATGGAATAGGTTGTCCCCTTACCTGAACACATCACTCCAGCATCATAACCATGAGCACAGTCATGTTCACCCCATCCTCCGTGTGTGCAGTCAGACAGGGCAGATTCGGTGCCATTACAGCCAACATCATCCATCCAAATGGGGCCAGATCCTGGCCCAAAGTGTCCGTACTGAGGAGCTTCAACAGCAGACCCACAGTCCAGCTGTTTACAAACCACTGCTGCATTCTTCATGCTCCAGTAGTGACCACACACGGTCCCCCACTTGCCCTGTTGTTTCACCTCCACTCTCCCAGCACAGCGCCTGCCGCCGTCCGCCAGCCTCACCTCCACAGCACCTTCAAACACTGACAAAGGACCAGTCAGGACAGCACTCAGCCCCAGCACTGCGGGTCTCAGGGAAGCCCTGTGCAGGTGGAGTCCGAGGCACCAGGGTGGGAGCCCACTCCCCTCCAGGCTGTCCCCAGGGCAGTTCAGGGGTCCCTTCTATTGTCATGGGCTGTGCAAGACTGGGGGTGCCTGGCTCCAGCCCTGCTGGGTCATTTGTGGCACCACACACTCTGACACTTCCATCCACTCCAACAGCCCCTCGCCCCTGACCTGTGCCCACCCAGGGCTCCTGCTCCTCCCCAGACAGCACCCTGAAAAGGGACCTATCCCCACCAGGGCTCCCCCAGGCTCACACAGCTACTCCTCCCCAGAGCCCCCAGCTCCCCTAGACCACAGCCTGCCCTGGGCCCCTCCCAACTCAACCTCCTCCCTCAGGACTTTCCGTGTCCCTTGTGGAGCAACATGATGGTCCCAGTGAGGCCTCCCAACCCATGCCCCCTCCTTGTCCTTGGGCATCAGCCCAGCCCTGACCTTGTCTGGGATCCCCGCAGGAAGGTCACCCCTTTGCGAGCCTCTGGGAACAGATTCCCCAGTTCCCTTGTCTCCACAAGCACAACCCACCCCCGGTCAGGCCGGGGATCACCCTGACTCCAGGACAAGAGTGAAGAGCCCACACCCCTTCCTGGGTACCCCCGAGGCTGGCTGTGCCTCTGGGATGACAGAACAAAGAGCCACCAGTTAAGGCACCACCAGCTCACAGGGAACAGAGCTGGCAGATCCAGGGCCCCAGGGATGGTGCCCAAGGATGGCAAATCCACACCCGGGTACCAACGGCCAGAAACGTGGGAGCCCTGGAAGCAGAAAAGCCCTTCTGCCACGCAGAGAAGCACAGGCTCAGTGAACCTGTTCATTTTCTCGCCCTTGTCACATCGACACATGGGAAGAAGCCCCGTTTCCAGAGGGATCCCTGTGCTGCTCCTTGGCCCCAGGGCTTTGTGGCAGGGCAGCAGGCATTTCCCCCTGCACAACTGCACCCAGAGGAGCCAGTAACTAAGGGGACAGAGGGACTCTGTCCCCATCCTGAACCTTTCGGCAGCCGTGCACCAAATGCAGGAGGATGGAACAGAAGCGAGACATTGGCTTCTGCATCTTTTCCTGCTTAACTGCAAAAGACAACATCACCCTCCTGTTTTCAGGCCAAGGCCAGCACAATCCCTGCCCTCCTCCCCTGCCCCCAGCACAGCCCCGGTGTTCAACAGCCCACCCTGAGTCCTTACTTGTGCAGCTCACAGCAGCGCTGTTTGCGTGGGTGCAGGGCTGGTCCCGAGGGGACCCCCTGGGGCAGGAGGCGAGGAGGGATTCATTCCCCACACACCGCAGCTCTCCATCCCACATGGGACCCACCCCTTCTCCAACGTGACTTCCTCCAGCGACAGGCAGGGCTGCGCCACACTGCAACTCCCTGCAGAGCACGTCAGCAGCCTTGGGACCAAAGTGGGAATCACAGATACTTTTCCACAGGTCCCCGTCACGGATCTCCACACGTCCTGAGCAGCGGTTCTTCCCTTCCACCAGACGGACAAATCCTGGAAATAAATCAACTGGGAATTCCTATAGCCCTGTGGCATTCCCATGCCCACATCTCACAACACCTCCATGCAAGCTGTGACCAAAATCACTCACTGCACATCTTAGAAGAAGATATTTAAGGGGTGATGGTGTCACTAATGCATCCATGCCAAGTTACACACCTTCTCTCCACCATCACAGCACACAGTGGTGTGTGTCTATTGCAGACCCACAGCAGACTCTGCAAACCACGTTGGCACCGTTGGGGCCAAAGTGTGGGTCACACACCGCTGTCCAAAGTGCCTCCTCATGGATCACTATACGTTCTCAGAAGGATCTGTGTCCTTAGAGCAGCCGGACAGATTCTGGACCAACCAATGACCCCTGAGAGATCCCACAGCCCTCTGGAAATAGCCTGACTACATGCCAGCTGATCTCCAAGGTGGCCACAGACAAAAAGCCCTATGACATCCCCAGCTGCTCTCAGGGTGTGCTGGTGGTACAAACACATCAGGCCCGGCCCTGCTGCTCCTCAGAAATCAGCACAGCAATTGGGGGCTTGTTTCTCTCCCATCATTCACAGCCACAGGAATCTCTCTAAAAAACTGCTGCTGCCACAGAGACCTTGGGCTGCCCAGTACTGGTCCCTGGGCTCTGTAGCCCCCACAGCACTCGGCGTTTGGGGAAATGGGGCCAGGCACGGTTGGCTGCTGCAGCTTGCGCTGCCCCACTGAGCTCAGCGCCAGGCGTGAGGAGCCCCTTGGTGCCACAAGAAGTACACCCCATGCCCACGGGCAT